GAATATATACATTGTATATATTATATATACACTATATATATAAAACATTTATCTATCTATCTATCTATCTATCTATCTATCTATATCTATATAACTGGGTGCAGAAAATGGTTGATAGACTCAACAGTTAACACAAAGATTGGACATTTGAATCTACCTGGGGTAATGAGGGTAGGTGTGTCAGAGAGAGTGAGATTGGCTTGGGATAGAGCAGGGGTCAGAGCTTTCATGTATAGGGTTACTATGAGTCATAGTCAACTCAATGGCACATAACAACAACAACAACAACAAACTTACCTCAGAATAAACACTAACAATCTTCTTTGGAAAAAAATCATCCATTGAAAACCTATGGTGTACAATTCTACTCTGCATGTGGTGTTGACTAGAGGAGCAGATTCTATAACATCTAATGATATCTTTCTAATATAGAGATGAAATTACACAAGAAGTGGTGGTTTAAATGGCTAATGCAACCTTGAGATTGTACTGCAAAATGAATTTTCATATTGCTATGTTTCTAGACTGAAATGGCCTCTGTAAAAAGCTAGGTAAGGTTGCTTATTTCCTCCTAATAAGAAATTTTTTTTAAAAATCCATCTAAAATTATTAAATAAGCAAAATGTAAATTTTTTAGAAGCAAGCCTTTTATCTGCACATTTTCATTCCTAGTGAATTTATAGAAATTCTAAGAAAATAATATATCTCTTCTTCCTATAGGGTGGTGTCTAAATAGCAGAAAATGAGCCATGGGGACACAGGGCCATAAGTGTCTCTCTGAAAGGACCAGAGGGAGTAAGAACAGCATAGCCCCTAATCACCCCAGACAGAAAGCAGATAAAAAGCCCATAGTCCATCCCTATGGGGCCTCTGCTGCCACAGCAACAGCAAGAGGTTTGTGTATTTGTTTTTGGCTCACAGACTCACAATTGTAGTACTGAAAATGAATTTATTAAGGAAGTAAGTTGAAAAGTGGGGGAGGCAAAGAATATCATCCAATGCAAATCCAAGTTTTGGCCACGCAATCCCAAGGCACAATTCCTCAATTAGTCCAGGCTCTGGTTTCAGTTCAGCAACACAAATTCAGGAACACAGTGGTTTCCTCAATCATCCAGCAAAGTTTGCCTCAGAGCAGTTATATGCTTCTCCTTCTAGCATCTGATAAGAACAACAAAATCCTTTAACTGTGGCCTTTATTTCAAGACTCCTCTGGTTACACCTTGCCATAATTTCTCTACAGCAATGCCACCATCACTAGGTTCTCAACCAAGGTCTCACTTTCACCAAAGTCTTACTCCATTCTCCCTCAAGTCTTGCTCTCCTCAAGTCTTGCAGCTCAGTGTGTGAAGCACTTTCTTCTATCCTAGTACCACAGAGGTTGATGATTTGCAGGACCATGTGTCTGCAGGTAAAGTAGCTAGAGATCAGAAGGGAAAATAATGGCTAAAAAATGGTCAACTTTTAGGCTAACACTGCAGGTAGTAAGACATCCATCATGTCAAAGGCCATCATAGATGTTTCATATAGCAAATGTTCAACAATTACTTCCTTATTTGCCTTCTAAGCCCTCTCTCCCTTCTCCTTTTCTTCTCTTCCTCTATCACTACCCTCTTATGAAATAAGAATGAATGAATGAATGTGTGGGTGCTAGAAGCTGCCCTACTCACAGCAACCCCATATGCAGCAGAATGAAACTACCCAGCGCTGTGTGATTCTCAAAAACTCTGCTGTGCTTAAGTCCATTATGCTGTTCACTATACCTGCCCATCTCATTAAAGGTCTTCTCTCTTTCGCTGACCCTCTGATGTCCAAATCTTACATCGTTTTCCAGATAATTACTTGCTATGCACCAGAAAGCTGGACAATGACTGGGGATGATAGAAGAAGACTTGATGTTTTTGAGTTGTGGTACTGGAGAAGGGTATTGAGTATACAATAGACTGCTAGGAGAACAAACAGATTTATCCTGGAGAGGGTGAAAACTGCTCCTTGGAGGCAAAGATTCTGAGGCTTCATCTGACATACTTTGGGGATGTTTCAAGGAGAGGTCAGTCCTTGGAGAGGGACAGTATGCTTGAGAGGGTGGAGGTACAATACAATAGAGGAAGATCTTGGATGAAACTGATTGACAGTGGGTTGGACGTATTGGAAGTGATGAGGTTGGCACAGTGTAGAGCAGGATTCAGAGCTGTTATACATAGGGTCACTATGAGTTGCAAACATCTCAACAGCACTTAAAAACAACAGCAGTCCTTGGTAGCAAGCCCATAATATATGTGATAGAGTTTCACCATCCTTGCATCTCGGGATTAATCTGGCTGTGTTTCTTCTAAGACCAATTTAGTTTGTTCTTTTGAAAGTCTGTCATATATTCAATATTCTTCACCAATTCCACAATTTACAGGCATCATTTCTTCTGCGGTCTTTTTAATTCATTGCCCAACTTTATACCCATATGTCTTGTTTTTAGTAGGTGCTGTTAGGTTGACTATGACTCGTAGAGATCCAACAGATTGAGGCTTTACACTATCCTGCACCATCCTCATGACCTCTGCCATTACTGCAATTACTGTGACAATCCATCTTGTAGGAAGATCTTCCACAGTCAGTGTTAGTGCTATCCAACCTGAGAAAATTGTCATTTGCACTGTACCCAACAGTGGTTTAATGGTATTCATAGGCTTTTCAAGGGTCTGTTATTTCAGAAGTGAATAGCCAGTGTTGCTTTTAGTCTGTCTTGAAGAGGAAGCGACATCTTTTTCCAAACATTAGTGTTCCTGACAACATTTCCAAAGAATGTGAAGTGAGGTTTCATCATCCTACACTCTAAGGAGCACCATCCTACCCTCTAAGGAGCATCCTGGTCACATTTCCTCTAACACAGATTTGTTATTTTGGTATGTGGGAGAGCTCTGGTGGCCTAGTGGTAAGAAACTGCACTGCAATCCCAAAGTCACACAGCTTGAATCCACCAGCTGCTCTGGATATAAGGATGCACAATCTCCTCCTGTGCGATGTACTGCCTCTGAAAACTTGCTAGAGGATCAGGTATGGGTTGGTTCTGACTCCATGGCATACACCAAACAACAAAAATATGGTATATGGAGAAGACATAATAAATAAAATTATTATACTTTAAATTAATGCATTCTTTTATTTCACTTTAAATAATTAATTTTTTTGGTAATCAACACAGCTGTTACCTAGCTGAAATTGTTCCATAGCTTTAAGGAGACACTCTAAAAGGTTGTCTTAGAATAATGAGGACATCCTGCTTCCCTGGGTATCTGTGCCTGTGGCTCAGCCATGTTAACTAAATTTAATTGCTGTTAAGTCAGTGCTGAATCATAGCTTACCCTCCT